GCGGTATATTTATTGAGTGCACGTGAAGGTCAAGTAAAAAGAGAGGTAATTATGATTGCGTGCTCATAAAGTTTCTTCTTCTTCACGTATGGGCTTTGGTCCATTAGGTCACATATACAAGATTTGTATATATATGTGACGTTCGGATGATAATAATTCATTCAGTTGCCGCCGATTAAAATCCTTAAAAGAAAAGTATAAACGGTTTCTCTTTATACTCGAGATTAGATCTCTACAGCACTAGCATCCTGTCTTGATCTAGTTTGTGTGCGTGTGGATACCGATAGAGGCACAACATTTGGAATGCTACATAACCTTGATTTGATTCAGTTCATCTTTCCGCTGCCAAATATCCAGGTATATTCGAAACCATAGAACCTAGATCTAATTTAGTATTTACACGAATCCTGGAAATTGAATTCTAAGTTGATATTTATAAATAGTTATAAATCGCCTATGAATTCCAACAGTTAGAACACTAGCTTTGATTTGATTTCTATGCACCTTCTTAATTCTATGCTTTTACATACTTAATCGATTAGAGTTTCATTCTAGAATTGATTCTTCATTTTTATTTGCTCTCAAAGCACAAACTGGCTTAGCTACCCAGGGGTTGATATTAGGTTGATATACTCTCCAAAAGTTTGTTATATCTCCGGACCTAGTATTCGATGAGTTAGGCATCTTAACAATTTGATAGGTTAGTTAAGGAGTCTAGTGAACAATCAATCTTAATCATAAAGCATGTTTTCACCTTGTAATATCCTGCGATAGTTGAGTCTATTAGGGTGCAAAACGTAGATGGTTAGTTATGTCACGACAATGGGATGACCTTACATTAGTGATATGAGTTCTAGAACAACTAGTCTAAAAACCCTAATTCGATTGCTTGTGTTTTGCATATGTTTTGTGAATTGCTTGAATTCTCATCTTAATTGATATATATCCCTTTAATTATTGCTTGTTATTTACTTCAATAAAAACTCTAAAAACCAAATAATATTTTTTCTTAGCTTAATTCGAATCATATAGGTTTGTAGTGCATTCATCACCTAGTCCTTGTGGATCGACCCCTAATTACTACAATTGTCTACTGTGCACTTGCAGTTCATAGGGTTATAAATTTAAAACTTGTATATGCATCTAAACCCTGCACGCATCAAAGTTTTTGTGCTTCATAAAGCTGGTCGGGTTTCGGACAGGAGTGTGAGCCTTAGCAGGGACGGTGTTATG